GAAGTTTAAGCCCTGGAAGCAATCTGGAATGTCTCAGTTAAACTATCTTCAAGTGGAGCCAACAAAGATGACTTAATCCAAACTACCGTGTCTAGAAAAGAATAAACTACCACTTTGAAGTTGCAGTTTTGCAGTGGCACTCTAAAATTGTGAAACATGATCTCTTCTAAATTCCCTTCTTTTCTTCATGCTAATTTCATTTAGATCTTTTTTCAAACCACTAAGTAAGCTCCTACTGTTTGCCAGGGAGTGGCAGTGAACATCATTATCCTAGGAGATAATGATCCAAGGCATTCTATCAGGACTATCACAATACACTGTGAAATACAGAAATGTCAATGTGCCAGGCCAGGCACAGTGATGCACTGAGAAGCTGAGAAATGAGGACACCGGCAAGACTTTGGGAACAGAATGGTAGCATAGCCTTGTTTTAAATACCTCATGTGAATTACCTACTTCTGTTATTCTCAGAAACTGTAGAGATGGTTATTTATTTTATTTTACTTAATGCTTTTCTTATTTTACATATCAATACCAGTACCTTCTTCCTCCCATCCTTCCAAGCACCACCCTGAACCCCATCCCATCCCCCATCCACTCCCCAGGGAGGGTGAGGCCTTCCATGAGGGATCATCAAAGTCTGTCAAGTCATTTGGGGCAGGGCCTAGACCCTCCCCTGTGTCTCTAAGTTAAGAGAGTATTCCTCCACAGGGGGAATGGGATCCCGAAGTCCCGGGATAGCTCAGTTGGTTATTTTATTTTTAAATATTTTACCACAACTTCAATGAATTTTCATTGTTTTTAGTGATTAATTATAAGTGTGGGGACCAGAGTTGGATAAAGTATAGTGTCAAACAAAGCTGAACCTAAGGATTCAGGTTTAGAAAACTGACAGAAGAGATGACATGTGCTTAAGGGTCATGGGAACGTAAAGGAATGATAGCTCTCATTTGCCTTGCATAGAAAACTAGGAAATAGTGACACAAGATCTTATATGGTAATAGGAACTATGCAAGGATATAATGCATGAAGTAAAATAACACTTAAAATATCTAATTCATCATGTGTTTTGGGAGATATATAGTAGATAGCACATAAACAACATATGTGATATTTGTTATATACCATGTGTATACTTATAATCTCTAAATTAAATATAACTGTACATAAATAGATTACATATTTTCCATATATACCATAGACATACAATCAATTATAGTGCTACAAAAGGATAATGTTTACTACTCTGTGTGTGGATATGGGTGTGTGGATAGACAAGAAATAAACTTAAACGTTCTGTTATACATCTATTTGAATCAATGGTGAACAAAAATTCATGTATTGCTTTATTTTTCATTTTTTATATTAAGCACAATTAGTTAACTCGATATTTAAACACATGCAGAATATGGGCTCATCCCTTGAAATCCTGTTTAAGGCACAACAGAAAAAATTTGCCTTTCACGTGAAGGCAAAAATTTATCTTAGATTTTATGCTTTCAAGATTCCTCACATTGTTCTTCATTAAGATATCTTACCTATTTGAAGGAGTTCAATGAGCATAATATTTTGTTTGCTCTTTTGGGAGCAAGATAGAAGAGCATCTGTAAGAATATGGTTCAAAGCCCAGAATAGGTATGGACCAGTTGTACAAAACAGGATATTATAGAAATATAATTATGACATCAACTCTCCAGCATGGTAGCAACTAGCCACATGTGCCAACCAAGAACTTGAAGTGGGGTTTATGTGCTTGAAAAAGTGAATCTTTCTTTTCTATTTTTGATGTGAGATAGAATGTTTTTATGTGTAAAAGAGATCAATATACATTCAAACCCTTGGAATCATATACAACCCTAGGATTTTTTGTTCATCCTATAGTATTTATAATAAGCAGAGTTGTTGTTCAAACTGGACAGGTAATGGACAATTGTTATAGACCAAATCCATCTGGTAGGCTTATAGTTGAATGTATGAATTTCCAGTAACTAACCAATTCATCTGCAAATCCTTTGGGCAATGATAATTGTGAGTTGCCTGATCTATAGGTTTGTACGTACATGTTTAGCCTATACATTTGGTTCTTTAAGTACAGAATGGAATCAATGTATATGACAGGAATCCTTCCAAGGGGATACCTTCATAAAGTGAGGCCCAATGAAGAAATGAGAAAAATCCTTTCCATTAAGAAGTATTAATACTTCCTTAAGGTAACCTCATTCAGCACTATTCAGCAATTACAGACAGGCTGACTACTAATTAACCTTTAAATATTGGCTTTAAGGTGCATGCAGGGAAATGTAAGAGAAAGAATAAAATCCTCTATTAGACCTTTAAAGGGGTACTTTCTCATGAGAATTTCTGAACTTTTGGATTTTTAATATGACTAATTAAGAGTTACCTTTACTCATAGGGAAAATAATGGGGACAGGATCCCTCATGGGGGGATCCCCATGCTTCAGTCCCCAGGAAAGTCTTTTTTGTGCTTTTAAAGGACAAACTCTGATAGGCTTTTAAGCTTTGTTCTGAATCTTCCAGAACATGACTGGGTCACTTTCAATGAATGATTTCATATTAGTTCCTCATTTCCCTCCTTGACTTACAATCCAGCAACCTGTTTGTACATTTATGTGTTTATAATTATATGCTATATAATAATAGTTATTGCTTCAATAAAATACTGATTTTTATTATTATACTACATGTAAACTCTGTAATTTCTTAAGATTATAAAAACGTAAGAATGAACAAGTGTGTTTTCTTATGAAGCATTCTAGGAGTAATATGGTATATTACTTAATGGACTATTAAAGGCAAAATTTGGGAGGAGATAGGTATAGTTATAAATATGTCCTGCATTATTCTACATCCCTTTTATTCAAGTGTAACCTACTTTTTCTACAAACAGCACACAAAACCAGAAACTACGTTATTTGGAGTTGTTATAGGAAATCATAATGCCTTTCAGAATAAAGAGATTCCCTTGTGTTTATAGCCTTCAGTTCACAGTAATTATAAACTATTAGTACAAGTCAAATTTCAAATTGTTAGAAACCTCTAATTCAGAAAACCTTTAAATCTATGATAAAAATATCTGCTCCATTTGGCTAGCAACCAAGGATTTTGAGACAACATACAGAATGTTAAATTTCTTCATTTATCAAATACGGTATCAACAAATAAATGAAAGCCATGTATTTCCTCTTCTCAGATATAGATTTGCTTGAAGTGAAATGTAATAAATACTTGACTGGTATTCTAGAGTATACAATAAAATAGAAGGGTTACTATCAAATGACAAAAGTTCTACAAAATTTTATACATATAATTAATATAATTACAATAAGTCTCCATAGCACTTCATCAAATACCTAGTACACAGATATAATTAACACAAAAGATTTATATGTTTCTAAGCTCAAGACATCTGGCTAGTTGATAATATTCTACAAACATAATTAATCTTCTCATTTAGAAATACATTCCTCCCTGAAAATATCTTCTGTCTTGACAATTTCTTCATTGAATACATTTATCAACAAGTAGTTCATAAGATAAATGAGGATACAGCTCCATCAAGAACAGAAAAATAACATGCATGCTTATCACTCACATGGATTCATCATCACAGTTAAAGCTCTGTATATAAGGTGTTCTTCTATTATGGGCAGAAAAAAATCTTAATAAGATATTAGAAATCTTTGCAAAGTGTAAGAAACAATGCTTCCAAGATGGAATCATCATTAAATCATCTGTTCATTTTCCCCCAAAGAAGGAATATATTCAGATGTTAAATGTACTAATATCCAATTCATCTAACTAGCCCATAAAATCACTTCTCATTTTTAAAATACTATTCTATTTCTATAATAAGAAGTACAAGCAGAGTAAAGACTTCTCTGTATCATTAATTCTGCTAATTCAGACCAGCAAACATATAAGTTTAATGCATGTTTTGTTGAAACTACACAGTAGGTGTTCTGTAAGTAGACTGTTAACATACTGAAAAGACTGACCTTGATTACTTCCAGGTGCATAAACCTGCAAGTCTTTTTCTAAGGAGAGGCTGACCCACTTTGTTGGTGTATATTATTTATATGGCTTCAGAGAACAATAGAGGTTCTAAATAATGACTCTGAACCTATAGGATGTATTAATGTAGGAGGAAGTGTGCTTTTTCTTCTAAGTCTAGGAATTGTGTAAATAGCTTTGATTCAGATATTAGCAAGCACTTGGAGGTGCACGCTGTTGCGTAGGTGCCTGGTACACTCTGCATTGGCCACTACTAGAGAAGCTGCATATGCTAATTATAAATAATTCATCTCTTCATTAAATTGGGTTCCCTAAGTATCCCTAGTTAAAAAATTGTTAATCTTGTATTATTTAATCAAGTAAGTAATCATTCTATCACAAAAACCTGAACACTTTCAAAAATGATCACATTTTTATCTTAAAAAGAATATTCAACTTTTTCTTCTTTACACTTTTTTCTGACATTTGAAGGCTTCAGTAGTCAGGTTTTTACATAATCTTGAAGAATTTAACATAGATTTTTTTAAAATATGATGAATGGAATAATTTTATCTTCAAAATAATTGAAATTACTAATGTAAAAATGCATTTCATTCTTCCACATTTAAAGAGCCTCCAAACACACACCATTATAAGCAAAGGAGGGTCAAGAACATCTTTAAAAGAAAAAATGAATTTAAAGCAGGTAATATATGTGTTTTTGTTATCTTTACAACTTAATTTGTAATCTTAAACCATTATGAATGAAGTTACACTATAAAATCATGAAAAACAAAACATATTTAAGAAATAATATTTTTTTCCTTGAATTCAGACATGTTGCCTTAACGATTCAAAGCTCATGGAATCACTTCTGATAGGTCTATAGTGCTATGTATCTATCACAGTTTACAGATAGCAGAATACATTGAAGCTAAACTAATTACAATTGTTACATTTTCTTTACATGCTCAAACTTCCCACCTTACCTGTAAAGGGGTGCAGGGTTGCCTCTTGCTTCACAATTTAAAGTTATTTTTTTATCCTCTGAACCAACATGGAAAACACTGTTGCTGGGCTCTTTGACAAACACAGGACCTTGTAAAAGAAGCTCACCTGTGTGCATAGGGGAATAAAAAACATAATAATAAATGAAAGGTGGTATAAAGTGTGCAGTCTAGAGTTGAAGATGAAAAATAGCAACTATCATTTGCTCTTAACTCTCTTACTATGTACCCAGTAGCATGTTGTGTTAACATTGCTTGGTTACAGAGCACCTGTCATTCCATTCTCAACAAAGAGTGAAACCCCCACCCCCAAAACAGAAAACCACAAGAAGCACCAAATATTAAAAACCACTTCAGTCTGTAAATAAGGCGCCACTGTTTACTTTCCAGAACAATGCCCGTATATAATTCATAGTTGTTCTTTGGAGAATAAATGAATTACAAGAAAGTTTTTCTATTGTAAATCTGTTTGCAAACCTAAAGCTAAAATAAAAATCCATTACTTTTCTCATAACATTTGAAGAACATGAACAGTTCAAGGCTGCCCATGTTGTTTTTCCACTTTCAATGAAAATAATATCCAGGATTCACTGGGATTTTCATTTTCTTCATAGTAAATGACATAAAAGAAATGAAGTGACTTTCAAAAAAATTTCCTACTTTGAAACTGGGATATTTTCTGAAGGTAACTGTCACATTCACACACACACACACACACACACACACACACAAATAAAAAACAAAACAAAACACAAAACCTCTGCCTCACTGTACTAGGTTGTGAAAGGAGAAAGGGTTATATGAAACAGTTATACAATGGCAATTATATAAGCATTGTCTGAACATTTATAAAAACAAACTCCTAGAAACAAAGTTGAAAAGGGAACTCTTTACTCCCCTGACTTGGAATGCTCTGTCAAACTGAACAGGAGTTTCTATTGAAGCAGAGAGGGTAAAACGAACAAAATGATTAAGAGAGTCTGTGAAATGTAAAAAAACAAAGAAAATGAATTGAATTGTTTCAAAAGCCTCTGGAAAGAAGAACTTACTTTTTAAAAAATATACTTCAAATAGAAATAGCACAAATAGAAACATTTGCCACACAATGTTAATCATAAAATCACAACATGAAAAACCACAAAAATCATTGAAATGAAGGACATATCAGCAACAAGCTTCAGGGTAAATCCTCAGTGCTCAGATATGTTTAATCAGTAAGTTGTTATGAGTGTGAGTACCACAGTTCTGTCCAGTGTGCAGTAGATAAAAGCTAGTCCTAAGCATAGTTAAGTGACGTAAGTCGGTTCACCCAGCATTTCAGAATGTCAATGTATATTATAGAAGTCATTGTAGAACTCACATAAAGACATGTCTTTGCCCTTCTGTAAAGCATTTAGTGTTATCTCGATTCTAGGAATGGCCCTAGGCTTCTGTGAGATAATGCATGACACATCATCAACCATAAGCACAAATCACAGAGAGTGAACTGGTTATAGAAAATTCTACCTCCAGTGATGTACTTCTAGCAAGACCACAATTTCTACAACCCACTCTCCCAATAGTTATACTTACAGGGGACCAATTGGTCAAAAATCTGTGCCTATGGCAGGCATTCTTATCCAAACCACTGCAGGTATGAGTGGCTACACTGGATCTGGGAATCAGGCTAGCCACCATCTTTGTTGGAGATTGACCATACCAGAAAAACCAACCATGTGATTATGGGTGAAAGAAGTGAGTTTTAGGGTATCAACTGACCAAGAGATTGAATTCAGCCATTTATGTAATCATTAGTCAGCCCAGCATAACTGGACCTTAGGTTATAATTATGATTTAGTTAAAAAAAATGATAGATACTTATGTGCACTAATAGAGATGAGACACAATATAGACTCTGGAGGCATTCAAGACATGGTATCTTGCTAGCATAGACAAAATATGATACACAGGCATGTTATCAGCCAGGATACTATCTTAGCACAGCATAGTCACTACCAGTATACTACAAACAATGCCAACTTTCAGTTGTTCTGACAACCTTCTCAAGTTTACTGTGGCACAGAAGCAGTAGAAAACACAGTTGGAACTCTGGATTGTGATCTTTTATGAAACATAGCTATAGCATCACGCCTCACTTTGAGGAACAAGTATGATCCCAAGATTAAATAATTTATACTCTATTTTGTTCCTATGCCAGGATATTCACTGGAATGCTGTGTCAGGGATTGTTCAACTTGCAGTGGGTTTGCCAGTACATCATATCACTCAGGGTAGGTCAGCAGATACCTGTGTGCTTGTTAATAATCATCCTGCCGGCCCTAGAACATGGTATTAATTACCATAATAACTCTATATTGGGAAAATCCCATTTTTAAAATGGGTGTTTGTTAAAATAAGGTTTTAAGTCCCAGTCTTACCTACCCACTTTGGTTTGTTTCAAAGCAGTGAGGCATAGAGAGGATAAAGCACCCCAAGAATGGCAACACAGGGTCTCAGTGAGATACTTGGTATCAGGTACCAACCTTCATGGCTTTTATTTGTGCTATTTTCCAGAAACCACTCTGTTCTAAATACAGGCAAAAAAAATTAGATCCTAGACTGTTTTTTCAACTGTAGTTGGAATTAAGAACTTGTAGAGCACTACCATCCTGTCTGAAATTTAAAGATCTCAAAGGTATTTAAGACTATCAGTAGCCATGTGGAAACTTCCAGATCTTTAAACGTAAGTAGAAATTAATAACCAAATGTGACAAGTTAGTCCATACTTTATGCTCAGATGAAACACTTAAAATCTACTCAGTCTTGTTGCACTAGATAAAATAGGCATTGAGAGATGCTGGGATATGCTGTTCTAATCTCTCATCAGCAACATAAACTTAAAAGAAGCAGATACTGGCCTTTGCTAACCAAAAAGGAATTATGCAACATTTTCTTCAAAATGAATTTTGATCTATAAAGGTTATATACTTTACTCACATCGATACTCCTAACAATCGAAAGGAATCTGATGTGAAACAGAAGGTAACCTCTTGCCTGATTAAACGTATTCAATGTAACATCTAGATTGATGTTGAACTTGACTTCCTGTGACAGAGACATTTTTTAAAATATGCTGGTCTGGTTACAAAGCCCCATTTTAGCTTAAAGTAAAGGATATATAACACTGTTGAGCATGACAATGAAATCTAAAAATTCAATCCTATGGTGTTCTTTTGCCCTGCACTGGACCCCTAACAGCCACAGGCAACTAGGAATAACTGCCTTTGAATGTAAGTACACACTTTATGGACTCCTAAGGTAATGTCACGTAAAAGATCAAACTGTACCTGATCAATTCTAATGGTCACATGTCATACAATTTTTATGAAGACTGACAAAAAGTAACAGGCAAGGGATTTCATGCTGTTGCATTTCCTTCACTACAAGAAGTAAAAAGTCTCAAGGAAAGTTGATGTTACCTTTTAAATTCCTAGGGGAAATGAGAGCATATCCCAAATGTGCCCTGCTGTTTTATATCATATGTACACGAGAAAATAAAAATGATAGTGGGAGCACCTTGAAACGAAGACCAAAAATACAAAAAGGAATCAGGGAGACAATACAACTAAAGACAGAATTCAAGAGATATGCATGAAGATTGGAGTATTTCATTAACTTTCTAGATTCCAGAGTGCCACAGAATAAATACTGGCTTTGGGTAAAAAGAATAAAAGAGTATGTTGTCAATTAGAAGAGAGCTACATTATTCTACAGATGAAAAAAAGAAGGACAAAGATGAACAAAGTTTTTAGCTTTAAGATACTCTCTATATGAAGACTAGTAGTGAACAACTAGGGGAGGGGAAGGAAATTACCAAAATATATCTCTTTATATTACCTCAAGGTTATAAAAGGATAGCCTAGCCATTCTTATAGAATACATGTCTATGATAGATATTTGAATGTAAGATGCATGCAACATATATTAAAAAAGCTACACATAATGGACAATGTCCTGTATTAAACTGGCCTCTGGCATCTGTTATGTCCACATTCTGATGGTATAAGCCTAAGAACAAGGTGGCATCAGGGGTGGCTTCTTCTGAGGACCATGAGGGAAAGATCTATTCTGTATCTCTACTTGGCATTGAATTGTATGGGTAACTTCACTTTATGTCTTTTCTGTGTGTGTATCTCTAGCTCCAAACTTTCCCATTTTACTGGGACATCATTTGTGATGATTTGATCACAACCTTACAACCTGACCATAATGATTTATATGTAGAACAGTGCCATTTGCTAAGAAGGTACCATTAGTTGGTACTTATGGTGAGCATTTTATATACATTGTAGGCTAAAGAACAGCAAGTTCTAGTGTATGACAAGGAACAGGAAAGGTCAGAGTATAGCTCAAAAAGGGGTGGGGAGTGATGGGAGATGTCATTCTGTATATGTTTCTCATACTGGTTAATAAATAAAGCACTGTTGGCCAATAGGAAAGGAAGATAGGAGGGACTAGGAGACAAGGAGGAAGAGGAAGTAGTAAGGAGGAGCCAAGATGGAGAGTTGGGAGAAAGCAGTATGCCGGCCGGCTCCCCGGTAAGAGAAATACATAGATCAGCAGAAATGGGTTAATAATTAAGGCAGATCTAGCTGATAAGAAACAAGTAACTGGCCAACAGAATTATATCTAATACATAGTCTCAGTGTGCTATTTGGGGCTGGCACGGCGGCGGGACAAGACCGGGCAGTGGGCTGAAAAAAACCATACTCTTACAGGGGAGTGGTATTTTGTTGTTTTTAATTTGAAAAAAAAATATCCTGTCCTGTCTACACTTTATTTTTTAAAAGAATCTGTCAAATCAGAATGGAGTGATGGGAACTGTCATCATCTTTTAGAAACTATGAAGGAGCTATAAATATGTGTGTACATTTAGGCATATACACACACACTTACATGTATATATGAGTATGTGTGTAAATGAACACATATATTTAAGGTGTATACTGTAATCAAAACACTAAAAGAAAAAAATGGCAACGGAGCATGTTTAAAGATGAGGAAGATGAAAAATAAAAAGAAAATAATTTTCAGGATTAACTTGTGTCTGCTATTCTCATCTGGAAATGT